CACCCCCCCCCCCTCCCCCCCGTTGGCCAAATCACCCGGAATGCGTTCGATCTAATTCGATCTTGGAATCTAAGCAAGACTGAGCATGGATAATCCTTGGATGGGCAATCACCACTTTCAGGCTGTCGTGGGGCTACATTGTGGCCGAAGGGTAGCGCAGATAAATCCACAGTTGCTCTGTACTTATACGGTCCCTGCCCACCTGGACGTTTAGTCAAATGGTAACAACACACAACAACGTGGAAGCCCTCGTCCATCAGTGAAACGACATTTAGTACAGTTTATACGCCACATGTGCTTCTCTTACGTCATCCAGACGCCAAAGTTTAACCCCACGGAAATTGTTTTGGGTCGTGGAAATTCTCGTGCTAATACAGGAAGTGCGTATGCATAACCTCAAATCGGAATGGGAATGCAAGATCATATTTAGATAGCAGTGATTGCTACAACTATAAATCAGTGAAAGTGCATTTTACACGATACATCTTTGTTTAAGTCTGTGTGCGAGCAGGGCTGGGCATTATTTCCTGAAATAAGACGTTAGAATTATACTCGACGGATTATTCAAATGTTGACTAAGGGCATGATACTAAAATAGATTACAGTCGTAATTGTAGGCTTATTCCAAAGCCCCATCTATGTTCACACACCTAGACGGAGTGTAGATAGAACACAGCACGTACATAATTCACTCTAAATTTTGATTTAAAGCTTTCGTGACTGCAGTAATTCATATTCTTAGCTCTTTCAGTAAAGTCACGTTGAAGGGAAACAACAAAATATATATAAAACAATACAACATTATCACGACGTTTCGACCATAACACAAACGGTCGTCATCAGGTGTGTCGGTTTGCATAAATTTATTTATTTTTAAACGGGGTATTTATTTATTTATATTTGATAAACCATTTCAGGTCTTAATTGATTGTTAACACTTACGGTGGCTTTCAGACAGCATGCATTAATTTTTCGTCTCCCCCCCTCCTCTTTTCAGAACATAGATGGACTCGTCCTTCTAAATAAACTGACAAATCGCTGCGCGTGGCGCTGACGGTTTTTATAAGTAAAAACACCGTTTAAAAATAAATAAATTTATGCAAATCGACACACCTGATGACGACCGTTTGTGTTATGGTCGAAACGTCGTGAGAATTTTTTATATATATTTTGTTGTTTTGTTGTTTCCCTTCAACGTGACTTTACCGAAAGAGCTAAGAATATAATTCTCTAGTTAAATTCCACATTATGCCAGGACCAATGTTATCTACAGGACAATGTTGATATTATTAGACCCTAACCAGGACTTAAACTGACTTTTAATCTGGAGGCTGCTGTTCTACGAAGGCATCCTTTCAATGTGTATGTATATTGTCCGAGAATCATATCAACAAGTAACACAAATAGATCTTGCCAAAAGTACTTTACAATGTTTTGACATATAATACAAATCAGTGTTGTCAAAATCCGTACTGAATGTGAAAACGTCGATATTCTAATAAACCGGAAGTTGCCACATCACCGCCGTACTTTTGAGTGAAAATAGAATTAGTGAGTGAATAAAAAAAAATCTGTCTGGCCCGTGTTTTTAAATAGAGCTGATCTCATGGTGCGTGGAGTCATGGGACATGTTTCATGTGTTGCGTGCTTGCGATGCTGTTGCCAAGGGATAGGTCGGTATTCGCCTATCGCCAAACACGCCCATAGTGTAGAGTATCGAAGCAGTGCAAAAATATATAACTGGTTTTTCAGCTTTTGTCTTACGTAAAATGTACCTCGGCTATGCATCTACAGCTATGCCTCCACCAAACATGTGTTTAAAAAAACATACTGCAGTTGTTAAAAGAGCAATTGTCCAATTTAAGTTCGTTCAAAAAAGTCGACCGGAGTGCATTTCAATAATGATGCTGGGAGTTAAAAAAACAGAATTTAAAAATAAACTTGGTAATAATATATATTATATATCCATCATGCACCTTTGAAACAAAATTATCTTAAAAGATGCAACAACTGTTGCCCTACAGCAGTTTGGTCCGCGAGATTCTCTTCCCGATGCTCATGATAAAAAAGGTTGCCCAGCCCCGCCAAATGTATCAAGCCAATGACCCTTCACGGTGCTCACTGCATTGACCACCCAGCAATCGGCAAAAACCCAAAATAGTTTAGCCGAGTGAGTCAGCATAAAAAAACGATTCGCAAAGTACCCATTTGCATTTCTTCTGGTTCATCGGAACCTTTGTGCGCTCTGTACAAACCACGGCCTCTCACAAGGGCCCTTCATGAGTTAGCGAGCCAGGACCACCCCCAAACCCACTGCGCCTGCACACAAGCCAACCCTCCCCCCCTTAACTGGTGGCCAAAATGAGCGAGTGCGTCGAAAGGGTTTGCTCATAGCGAGAGTGGAAGTGTTGCTTACAAAGGAAGGATAGGGAATGGAGGAGGTCGCGCGTGAGCGGCTTGCGTGTTTACCTGGGTGCGTGTCTGCACCTGCGCCAGCGTGTATAGGCGCGTGCGCGCACATACAGTCCGGTCTGTTTACTCAAGTGCTTTAACACAGCCTACCGAGGTGCTTGTGGCCTTAAGAAACTCGAGCCTACTCAAGTGCCTGCAACGCATGACCATACCTGGCAACCTGCCTACACGTCGTGCACAGCCCTCACCTGTAGGCATTTCAGGATTCGCACTTAAAAGAGTCCATGAGATTAAAAAAAAGTTTCTTTCCTTTTTTTGTATACACTAAACCAAGAAGTGCATCAAATCACACCGCGGGTGCAACCTTAGCAATGTTTTCTTCTTACATCTGATGATGCTGCTTTAAGCTCCCGCGACGCCAAATTTACGACGGAGGGGGTTGACTGACCAGGGGCGTTACAGCTCACGGCGCGAGACGGGAACTTGTCCCTCGTCTGAAAAGGCATTTTTGGTTGTTCATTTCCCCGATCACAGACGCTGGCCATCTTCCACACCCCCCCCCTACCCCTCCTTGTTCTGATAAAGGCACGGATACCACCCCACTCCTCAAGCACCCACAATGCATCGGACTTGCACAGTGCATTTCGCAATGGCCAAAGCTGCTTAAATCCTGCGCCACATGAACTAAATGGGCCGAATCGGACGATAGCTGCCGGTTGTTGAGTGAACATCCATAATATGGTGGGGGGGAGGAGGGGGTTAGATCACGTAAATGTGTGCAGTTAAACCCGCCACCACCCGACCCAGCCAATGAGTAAGGTTTGTCACGAAAACAGAACGTGCCAATTCGTTACTGGTACAGCACACCGTTGTGTGTTGGGAGAGCAAATCCACGACATTCACAATCGGCGAACCTAGAGACGTGACCCCACACCCTTCGCCGCCAAGGAGACGAGAGCACGATTGTGCAAGACCACAGCGAGTCACGAAGCACAGATGGCGTTCTACTGTGAATAGTTTAACCTCCTCTTGACGACAATCAACATGCCAGAGCTACACAAGATTAAAACGGTTTGCCCCAGCTAATGTCACATCGACCAAAACAGTGAAATATTTAAGTTCAGAAATTTCAAATTACTCTTGTACGGTGTGAGATTAATTTTGGAATAATGCTCCAAGTGTTTGGATGTAACATTATAATTACTCTTTCACAAAAGGTCCAATCTGAATACACTGTAGCTTCCGGCAAATCGTTATTAGGTAATGTGTACAATTGGCGAGAAAAATGTCATTGACGTTCTGTTCAATATATTTCAATCGGCACTCAAGACATGGGCCAGGAAAATATGGTGTAAAATTATTCTCTTAACCTTCAGTATTATCGCAGACTAAACACGTGTGTGCTGTGCACGCAAGTGGTTCCGTGTTCACCGAGGTATGCTCCCATCAATAAACACGCACGAGTGAAACAGCGGGCACACACATCGATGTGTGTGCACAGTATTCGCGCGCGCGCGCGCACAAATCTGCTTTGTTCACATTTGTCCAAACGTTGTCGAAGGTGGTTGGAGTTCACTTTTAAACACTAAATTCCGCTTTCCCGCGATAGTTTTGTTGGAATCAAAACACTCATATCCTGAATACGTCGATTGGAGATGCTGTTCGCGATTTATATTTTTATACCTCCACCTCAGTACCGGATGATCCGAGGAGAAAAAGTAGCAGATGCTACGGGCACCCAAGCTAACAATTCCGGTCCAGTGATTCTGCACTTGCTCTATTACTATAGAACTATACTGCCTTCAACTTAAGAACGAGTGGGTGTTTAAGCTTAGAGATTTGTCGTATTATCTGGCCGTACAGCAAATGAATAAATACAATTACTTTATTGTGGAAGTAAAAAATGTGTTTTAATATTAGTGGGGTTGAGTTATTTAGGGCCCCTTGATAATATATGCTACAGGCCCGCACTAGCTTAATCCGACACTGCTTCACCTACCTGCACAGACAGATGACGTTTAATTTAAAGGGTACGTATTAATGGTGTACATACATCCACAACTTTTAGTTCAAGATCCCGATTGAAGAGGATGTTCGCAATTTATCTTTTAGTATATGCATCCTCACCTGCCTGCACAGATGAGGTTTAATTGTGAAAAAGGTAAGCATTATGGTAAACGCACATCCACAATTTATAGTGCTATATCCTGAACTGTAAACATTCTCCATTGACATGCTTCGGACAGAGAAAAAGGGGAGTACAATTTATTATAATCCTATAGTTGAGAACACCATAAAACGTATCAACGCAGATCCCGTGATGTGATATTACAGCTCTATGCAGCAAGGGTCAGATTTTTTCCCCCATTTGCTGCATTTATAACAGCGCACTCTTAAAGTGTCCTCTTGATGTTGTTATTATTGTGCATTCCTCACCCTATACCACGAATAGCGCGAGTAACGAGCACCGTGTCGGTAAGCATTGTCCTATGGCGCCACCCGTTGAACTCCCGACTGAATTACGTTAAGTCACATTTATTCCATCACGATCAGTGCGCATGTTCCCGACCTTGTTGTTTTAATAGCGGTTTTGGTCTCAAAAGAATTCAAAATTACAATGGAAAATGGTAATGCAAGCTCCTTATCGAGGAATATTAAAAAAAAACGTTGATCACATTTTTATAAGCCGTCATCTATTACACGCGCTGTTGACGTTTAAACATTTGTTAAAGAAAACAGAATCGGCTGTGCTTGTGAAAAAGTATGAAGCTACGAGGTCCCTTGAGGTTTATCGATTGACAACTTTCCCGAAGATAAACTACTCTGATATTTGAAAATCGCTTGCAAGGCACCACCACACGTACAGTCATCGTGTTAAGATGTGCTCGGATGCTTTCTCTGTTGAATTGTTGTATGGCAATTTTAGGTAAAAAAAACAACTGGATAACACAATGGTTGTTAGCGGTGACCCCAGGCTCACAGTGGCTTGGACAATGAAAGTGCTCTCCACGATGGAACAAATGCTATTTTGAGATTTTTCTTGAAAACAATGCTTCGGGCTGGACCTGTCTACAGGGACATGGTAAAAAAAAAAAGTCAATTTGTGGCTTCCTCTGAGAGGTTTCACCTGTATTCACAAACCCAAACAAAGTGTTCATGAGTACGAGCAGTGTGGAGTGATATCATCGTCCTGACCTGGGGTCAATTCCTGGCAATGTGCAATATCAAGTGGTGGTATCAGAAGGGCCCTCGTGCCGCCTGCCACGTTAACTTGAGGAAGAAAAAAGGTTGACCAAGTGCGATGCTGGGCAACACCATCATCGCCTTGTTTCCTAAATAATCGGTGCTCGCCGATAGCACTTGCCATATCGAGAAGGCTAAGTGTTGGACCATCTATACTTTTGTGCAGTACATCGATTGCCAATATCTCCCCCAGGCACTCATTGTTTGTAGACGCGAAACATCCCCACAACGCATTGCGGTCGGCACCAGGAGCGCACCAAGCCCCCATGATATACACGAGACGAGTTAAAAGCAAAGTAGCATGTTTGCAAAAAATACAAACAAAACATAGATAGTACCGTTGTCTCGATGTACAAACAATATATACATGAACACGCAATACAGAATTAGCTTCATCTCAAGTGCACGGCCGTCTTTTCCTCCAACAACGTTGTTTTAAACGTACACTTTTTTTTTGCAATTTATTACATAATGGTTGGGAAAAGAAGGCAAAACCAAACATACGAGTGGTGAAAATACTTCCTGCGAACATGACAGCACATTTAATGATGCAAAGCAAATACCGTGTGGATTACTGGCTCCAAGAAATAAAAAGTACGCGAGACATAATTTCATTTGTTAAATTAATCAATTAATTTATAGTTACTCTATAGTTGTTGACACGACTGTGTGTGCGAGAGAGGCCAACTGTTAGTCTGCTGGCCATAGAACAGAGCGACAGCAGCATGCATTTCGGCAAGCGTGGTGCAAAACATCACGCGGCGACGACGACGACCACAACGACAATCACCCCAATTAAATACAAAAAAATTAAGGCAAAGAAGTCACCACCACCCAGCGCAGATCCAGATTCAAGTTTTGACATCACAATGCGACATTGTCGTAATTCAGTGATGGGATCCTCTCCTCCCATGTAGTTCGAAGCAATATTCCACAGTGTACAGCAAGTTAATCATAATTGTGCACAAGGAACATTTTTTTTACCTAGTTAACACCAAACCCGCTGCCAATACTATTCAACAAGTTATTTTATATATTTGTGTTTTTATGTTTTTTTTGTACATTTTTTGCGACTAGTCATAAATTATAGCAGGCAGATGTTTTCCTCTGGCCAAAAAGCAAACATCTCTATGCATTCTTTCATCTATTTAATTTTAATCGTCTAAATAAAAGCAGTAATGCATTACAAATATCATATTTTTAAAAAAAAACTGCCATGTCAAAATTTCAAACTATATCATCACAATTTAAAGTTAAACAGTGATTAACATTCAGGTGATTTCCAATACAAGGCAAAATAACACTAACAGAGCTAAGAAGAGCAGATGGACCAAAACGTCTGCAAGCCAACAAATTATTCTTAAAGTTTCATGTAATTGGTGTTAAAAATGTTTGGTTCTTTAATTTGTTGAATCAATCAAATAAAAAATATTTTTTATAGTAATTCTTCCATCATCAACTGCAGCAACGCCCTGGGCCTTACAATATGATTTTGGAAAAAAATGAAATTTAACTTCACACCAGTACGCTTAAAAAAATACATAAAAAAAGTTGTTAAGGATGTCAAAGGCTCAGCAAGTCACAGTGCATCCACTGAGGAAGCACCCAACACTTTGAAGCCATCACAACGGCCAATGATAATTTATCTCCATCACAACAGAAATATGAATTTTCCAGAAATACAATAAACTGAACCGCGTGCCGTGTTATGGTAGCAGTGCTCTCTGTAACATTTTGGTTCACAAATGGTATATCTGGGGCACAGAGTCTAGTTGCATAAAACCCTTCAGGACGTTTCCTGCTAGTTTTTTTTTAAAGCAATGCAAGTTGAAGTGGGGGGTAGGAAATCACTTCCTGCATTTTATGCAACCGACAACAGGGCCCAAGCGTTCAACAAAAACAGCACCTTGGTCACAACTGGGTGGGTGGTAAGAGTCACCAACATGCCAAAAATGCTTTTTGGTTATGGCCATACGTAACGTAAAGAAATGTCTTTTGTTCAGTACATTTTTCCAAAATGCAAAAACATTTTTTGTATATATCGTTCTTCATATCCAATATTCAACCAAAATATATTTTTGGCCACGAAAGAGAAATCGCAATGTTTCAATTAAATGACGAAGGACTGCAGCTCACAAAGGCATGCATCGCTTAATTCCACTGCAGCTTAAACGCCAATTGCTTTATCTTACTCTACGACACTAACTTTCTATATTAGAGCCCTCTGCAAATGAGACAGGCAAAGCAAAAAAAAGATATAAATAACATAACCTCAGCAGAAGGGGGGGGGGAAGTCACTCTCCAAACAGCGCCAAACATAAGCTGTCGGTAACCTCTTGCTTGCAGGCGTGGAAAACTCCAAGCAGCACCTTAAGCGAGCCCAATGAGTCCATTTCCACATGGAATTATACCCGTGTTGAATTAAAAAAACATTAATGATGTGCCAACACGTTTTGTCGCCACCATTACATTCGTTTCTTCAGCAAGAGACATTCAGCTCCAGTTCAGCAAGTTATCGAATCATGCCAGGGCTTACCCACCAAACAAAAATAAAAGCTGCATGCATTCTTGTGGTTTGCAAATTTCGGTCAGCCACTGCATAGCAAATGGCAAGCCAACCTTAGGCCATTCAGATACCCAAGAAAACAGGAAGCAGAAATTCCAAAACGCACTACTTTTGTTTTCACCCTTTGCCGCAACATTACTCCTGGTTGCTAGATGAAGCCAGACGGAGAAAGCTCTCACTGGGGGATTTTAGCAAAACAGAAACCGAGGGCTGTGGCAATTAGGGCCCAGCAATGACAATTTAAACCAGAGAGCCTCACACACACGTGTCCTTTCAGCCAATCCCGTAATCGCATTGCCAAGTCACATTTGAGAATTACATTATAGCAGATTGAGAATTACATTATAGCAGATTGAGCGATGCCCAAGAATCATCAGACTGTCTGTTAATGCACGATTATTATTCTGGCATTCCCTGACTGGACAGTCACATGATATGAAAAGAAACCTCTTAGTGTTTACAGTGTATACAAAAGGTGTTGGTAGAGTCCAGCCTTCATGCCAAATTGTAGTTACGATGGGGTGAAGAGAACAGTTTCCCTGCACATGTTCTGATTTGCCCAAGGGTCTCCAGTAAGATAACCTGCAAGATCTGTACAAGCACATCAGGCTGGTCCGAAACAGGGCGAGATGACTTCTACATCAAGTCAACACTTTAATCAGGACCTGCAACACAAGTAAATCTAAGCAGTCTGAAATGGTTAAAACCACTTCAATTTGATTTTTTTTATATATATGAGCATTTCTGCATTTCCTCATGTGAAAGTACACAATAACTTGTATGCTAAATCAAGTGGCCAAGTAGCATGTGGTATGCTTAACACCACTTTCTGCAGAAGGCTGTCAATTTAGTGGCCGAGGAGATGGCACTTTGCTCACTTCCCAACACGAACAGTTTGAAATCAATTACCGAAGCTCACCAACACCTGCTCAATGTCTGCTCCCCTTTAAACAATCAACACTGCTTACACGTTCTCAATCTCATGGCCTGTTATCTCTAAATACAGTGCAAAACTGTCCCGTCATCATTCGTTTTTTAATACCTTTTTTGACCACTATGCTACGATTATTGGATTCAACTTCAAGAGCCTGTATATTCCCAGCACTGGCAGCATTTACCACGTGATAAACCAGTATTAAGTTTGTTTTTCACAAGTGGCTCATTCATATGATGTTCCAGTTTTATAATCATCGCTTAGACTGTATTTTGTGATTTGTCAAATCTACTCTATAAGCCATTTATATTATTTAGATATACACCTTTTTGTCACTCTTAACAGCAATAGCGTCTTTGACACAGGTAACACACTATGTACAGTTAATATCAATCGCTGTGGTTATTTGATTTTCGCCAACAGATTGGCATATGTACACATGACATTGCAGGTCCGGCCGACTTTTAACATGTAAGCGATGCACAGAATGGCAAGCACCCAGAACCGCTGCTGCAATAAATAAACAGGCTTTCATTAACTGTACGTTATTTTGGCCTGTACATGCCTCACGTTGTCGAAGAGACGAGATGACGGACAATATCATACTTCACATGAAGACAACTCGGTGTTTTTTTCTTTATTTTTTTTTGTCTGTAATGAACACAAGGCATTTCTAGTGCTTCAAAAACGCAGCGCCAAAAAAAAATGGGGATTCAAACAACCCACCTAAATTTTAGCGCTCGCGTGCTCAGTCCATCCCCTACGGTAGAAGCGCGCTCAACTCTGCCTTGCAACTAACTGCGACCGCAACGTTCTTTAAATCGTGGTATATCGCGTTGAGTTTTAAAGCAACCGGGTTGTGTTCTATTTACACCAAAAAAAGTCCACGTTTTTGGGGTACTTTAACCAAACGCACCAATTCGGATGCAACCACAATGGGTAAACCACAATGGGTAAACCACGCTGTAATGAGAAGACGAGTGGGGGGGGGGGGCTTGTCCACCCAAGCACGTGGGCTATGCCAGTTCAATCACATGCATCCCCGCCAACTCATGTGATGGCTGCCTGCACCTTTGCAATGCACGCTTTTCAATTCCTTTCTTTGAAGAGTTATTTTACCGCATCACATCGGGGGTGGGGGGGGGGTGTTAGAGAGAAAAAAAAACAAGTCAAAATGAAATGTAAGCAAAGTTTTCCTCGCTCCATCAAATCGCTTGTTGTTGGAAGGAATCTTTCCATGAAATTACATGCTGTGTGGCGCATTTCCCCGATAGCATGGTAGCAGGCCATGACATCTGTCCATTACCTGGCATCGAAGATTACCGGCTGAAAAGCCCACACCCCCCCAAAAACGTTGTTTGAGAAAAAAAAAGAGTTAAAACAATGGCTTTGGAACAGTAGTATTCAGATTTTTTGAATTAAAACTATTGCACATATAAAGCCCATCATAATTTAAAGATTACCAGATTGTTATATATATTTTTTTCAGAAAATGTTGAAATGTTTGCTGCCGATTTATCTTGTCAGCAGGTTGCCTGAGCGCGAGATATATTTGACTTTCAAACAATGGGTAACGCCTCATTTAAATAAATATGTATGCTCTGCACTACGTGTGCACAATGCACGATTGACAATGGTATATATTTAGTAGAATTGCACAGCAGTGTGATAGAAACGTTGCGCATTTTGCATATATTATCTCACAATGGGAGGGGGGGGAAAATTAAGGGGGCTGGGGAGAATAGAAAAAAATGACCACTTTGGTGTCCAACTTGTACCTGTAAACCCATGTTTGAGTGGTGTTGTACTGACTGTAGATGTTCCTTTTCTTTGTCGCACCAACCACCACCCTCTAAAGAAATGGGCATGTACACACCGTAGCATCGGCAATGCCTTGCATTTCAAGTGCAAAATGTCGTGGTCAAGCCTGGAAAAAAGTTAAGACTTTTATTCGTCGTCTTCCGTGTGTTTTTCTCCCTCTATTCGCAATCAAAACTCTCTCACCGCACGCAGGGAAGGGGTCTTGTCAGTTTGAGCGCTCTGCCCTTGGTGTGGTGGGATTCATTCTTTATCTTTTCCTCCCACCTCCCTTCCTCCAAACACCGTCTCACAGGTCAAGAGAGGGGGGCAGAGCTGCCCCCCGGCCCCCCCCCTCCCCCCCCCGCTCGCTGCCAGGTCACTTTGGCGACTTGGGTGGCGGCGTGCCGTGCTCCCGGCTGGCGCGACGACCGCCGTGGTACCAGCCCTGTGGAGAAGGCCGCCGCGCCATTGCCGCCCTCCCGGCGACAACCCCGGCGAGCCGCTGCGTCTCGCGAGAGTCGCGAGACGAACGCACGTCCGTCTTCTCCGCCGCCGCCGCGCCGTCGGCGGCCCTGGCCTGACCGTCACGCCTGCCGATTCCATCGCTGACACAAGCCACGGCGTTGTTGGAGGAGGTGGACTGGGCACTGTTGTTGCTGTTGCTGCTGCTGCTGCTGCTGGTCTTGTGTTCCCGTGCCAAGGGCTGGGAATGAGGTTGTGCTGGCACTTGGACAATGCCGTCCTTCAGCGCTCTCTGGCAGATCTCGGCGTAACTGAGTTTCTTCGGTTCCTGGTTTCATTAATAAAACACACAGGCATAGATACACACACACACACACACAACTCAGGTGTACAGTTCATTGATTGCCAAAAGAGCCCTTACCTTCAGAGGCCTAGTTTCTTATCCTTCATGCTGCACAGCAGTGGACTATAATATTCTGGAAGACAATTATGAATCCGAGTCCAGTCAACTTCTCCAAAGAAAGCGACATTCAACTCAGTACACTAAGTTTGAGTGTTACCACTTTTAAATGTGGATTTTTTTTCATCTGGGCACTCAAGTTTCCTTCCACACACAAAAAAATCCTAAATTCAAATGGACAAATATCTCAAAAGCATGATCTGTGGAGTTTTTAATGGCCATTAAATAGTTGTTTTTTTATCATACGAGTTTAGTGCTCTTTGGTTGTGCTGTGTGCACTTTGCACATTCTGCTGATGACCAATTCACACGGAATGTAGCGGAGGTCATCAAACCTCAAGCTAAATAAGGGTTAAACAGAGACGTTGGACACTACACTACAATGACAGAAAACAGTACTGTAGTATCCATAAGAAGTTTTTTTTTGTGTTAGATCGCGTAAATATGTGTCGTCAAACCCATCGCCACCCGACACAGCCAATTAACAAGGTTTTTCAATTAAACAAAATATCCCAATTCATTACTAGTTCAGCATACCGGTGTTGGAGAGAAAACCCACAACATTTACAATGGTAACAATTATAAATGTTACTGTACCTCCATGCTTCACAACGAATTTGCCCCCTTGTCAACCCTTTAAAATAAACCCTCAAGACCCCCGCACGGTGTGGAGAGGCCCCCCATCCAGAATAGGAATGACAGAGGACTGACAAAAGGGCTGTACACAAGTGTCTGGATTGTTGGTCGGTTGCTTTAGCTCGTGTGTGTATTTGGTGGCTGGAGGGAAGGCAGTACTTTAAAAGAAGGTCCGTCTACCCGCATGACACGGTTCTCGTTTCCATTTTCAGCGATGCACTTTGAGTAACGATCGCTCACCTGCACGTCTGTGGGGCTGCCGATGCTGCTGATGCTGCTGGTGCTGCTGGTGCTGCTGCCACCACCTGCAGGGGATGCTGGCTGGGGCTGGGACTGGGGCTGGGGCTGAGGCTGGGGTGGAGGCTGGGGTGGAGGCTGGGGTTGCGGTTGAGGCGGAGGCGATGTGGGCTGTCCGTGTGTGCCTCGCGGCTGCGGAGACTTTGGCGGATGCTTAACGTCTGCCACAGTTGCTGCCGCCACCGTCGCCACGCTACTCCTGCTCTCACTGCGACACACGCAAAGCCAACGACCTTTGAGCGCTGTGATCCAACGCAACAACTAACGACGTTCCCACGGCAGGGTGGGACTTCTCAGAATTAATGCCTAAACTATTTTAGCATGAATTACCCCTGAAAGAGTTACACGGAATTTTATGTACACTTTATAAATGGCTTACTTGTTGCAGGCAGGGAGCAGTGGTATATTGTCAGCCATCTCATTGTGCAGTGAAGGTTTTAAGTGGGCCAAAGGTGGCAAAGGGGTCATGTTCCAAATAATAAATACATTACACATAGCATGCTGCTCCTTCGCAATTGCCAAGTCTCCCTCGAAATAACATTTTCATCTCAATGGGCTCTCATCTAAAATAATGGTAGCAATTAAGGGGAGTAATACAGACCTGACGGTTTTCACGGTTGGGGAATTCAGGGGGCTGGTGGCCACGGCTTGTGGCACCGCGCTCCGCGTGCTCTCCGCTCCCTCTCTCGCGTCCGCCGTCGAATTTGAGTTCTCGTCATTATTTGCGTGCTGAAATAAAACACAACGCCATCGTGTACGATGAGGACAAAACATTTTGGAAAAGCTCAACTGGAGTGAATTCCGAAAACAATTAAAAAGACGCTGGAAAAAAAAGCTCAGGTGTCATATCAACCGGAGGTCCATTACTCAATACCGAAACGTAAAACAGTACACGCTCCAATAATTTTGGCCACAAACCTGGTAATTAAAAGAGTCGACTCATATTATTTGGTAATTTTTGGTATTTATATTCCAATTGTGCTTATTGATATCATATGGGGGATGAAAAAATGTTCCCTTTCAGAACTCTCCCAGAAAGCAGTCTCATTACCATCCCATGTTATAGAAAGGCCACATTGGTAGGAGACAGAAAAACTTCCGAGATGCCTTCAATAACAGATCTGCAGAACACATCACTGTTAAAGTAAACGTGACACAGTGGCTGCAAGTACTATATGCACGAAGATTAATTTACAAGTCAGAGTGAACCCTATTCCTGAATATTCAACTGGCCTGAATGAAGATTGCTTTTTGTATTCACACGTGTGCTTTTGCAAGCGATGCCGTCAGCAGCATTTATACACACAGCCTTGTATATAACGCAACAGGACTGTTACCAGAATAATTCAGGACGCATGAAACCTATTTTTCATATCCCCCTTGGGCACATTCATGCCACGGTCAATCAAACATTGTATATGCGTATGTGCTGCTTGCATGGCACAAAGGCATCTCCTGTCACACCTCCTCCTCCTCCTGGGGAAACTCAAAAGGGCAAGAAAATGACAAAGATGGACATGGTGGGATGCCATCAAGAGAAAACCCAGCTCAGCATGGAGAAACTCACAAGAGCTAGTGCTGTGATGAGGACGTGCTCTCACCCCGCGATGACACCAACGGATAGACACGTGCTCATGGAAGAGTACCACATGGACGCAAGTCAGTGCAATGGGGGTTCAATTCTTATAAGTACCTTTTCTCTGGGAATCCCTCGTACGACGTCAGCCATGCGATTCTCAAACACCCCATCCGGCCGGATGCTTTGAGAAGCGCCAGGTAGAGGGGGGAAGTTGGATGGGGCCAGGTCAAAGTTCGGCTCGGGTATAACTGGGGCAGGAGGACTGGGCTGGTGGACGGTAAACATGCGGCAAGCAAACAAACATGTGATTATCTACAAGCCTGCGATCATCACATTACCTAACATAAGCAGGAAAAGTTCAAAGGTATTTTTTTAAGTCAATCATCCAATATTTAGATAAAATTTTGTTCAGTGACTGCCAATTCACTTTCAGCATACGTTTTTATTACTGCTATTATCAGCTCTGTCCATCAATACTTCTACTTTCTAAGTTAAGCACTGCCTTAACTGTGCATACCTGTTTAACACATAGGTTTTATTATTCACTCTCATGATGAGTTTTGTAATATTGCAAGTTCATGATTGGCTGCGCTGAGGACAAAGAATTATCATTGGTGACCGGCTGACATTTATTGACCAATGAGCAATACTTTTCCTACCATGACTTTGTATATATTTGTAAAAAGGCAGATCTTGAAATTAGCAATATACTATTTAGATACATGTGAGAATTGCCATGTAAACAATATACTTGTAAAACTCAAATATGCCACGTCACTTGTGCGAGTGTGCTTCAGCCATGAATGTGACTTTAATTGAATTCTTACAGCCATTCGTTCTTCTTCTTTTCTCCTCCGGCCTCCTGTCCTGTAGCCGTTTCGACTGAAACGGTAAAACAAGGCGCAAATGAGATGATATAAGGCTTGCTTATATCCTATACACTTTGTACATCAACTTGCAGCATATAACTTGGGTAATAAGGTGATGTTATACATCCTCTTGTGGAATACATGAGAACTGCAAGTTACTCTCGACAACCATAACCAGAGCGTATTGACGGGATCCAACCCAAAAAAACCCACCTATATTATTGGACGATATTGGTCGTGAAAGCCTACGTGTTAAACATAACCAGAGCATTTGAATGTGGCTCAAAAGGATGGAGGCAGTGTGTGTGTTTTTTTTTAAAAGCAGGCTTTCTAACCAGGGAATGTTTTTGTTTATTGCGTTCATCTTGTTTGCTATACCTTCCTCGGGGTAAGGGCGCGTGCCCTTCGCCCGAGTTGCTGTCCGCTCGAGGTGACGCCGCGTCCTTCCGGCTGTAACCGCCGCCGCTGCCACTCACGCCTGTGCCCGCACCGCCGTGCACCGCAGCGCTGTACCGCGTCGCGGGCTGGGGGCTGCTGTCCCCGCCGTTGGGCAGCGCCTGGTCGCACGCGGGGGACGTGGCGGCCGTCGCCAGCGGAGTGCCACCCTCCGAGGCCGACCGCTCACTACCGCTGGCCCGCCCGTGAGGCTTGCCTTGGTGTCTGTGGGGACGAAGTGGGTTGGGTTGGGGGGGGGGAGAGAGAGAACCAGAATGGGGAGAGATCATTCCCCATTATAATCACACTCCATGACATGCCTCCCGAGATCTCATGCTAACCCGCAGTAAATTATGGAACCGTATCTCAATGGAAACAAATTATAAATATGCGGTAAGGGATGACAATGCGGGCTGGCAGTTTGTCTCTCCAATTGCCCATCCAGGATTAGTGAAAAGTCATGCCGAACTTGTTCTAAATTAATGCAGTGGCATTTATCAAATGTTATGAGTGAACAATTGTTTGGTATCAATAAACCCACCAAAAAAATTAACGATGGCATGTCAAGTTTTTTTTTAAAAAACCTTATTTGAATACAGCAGAGGAAATTGTAGCGGTCTTATTGAAATCTTCATTGAAGCAACTTCTATTGACATGCATGATTGGAAGAACAGATTTTTTTTTATATATATAAAAGATATTAATGGTCACAGAACTGCACAGCAAAACAAATTCTTATTGATAAATGCATTAGCTAAGCTTTATGTTATGGCTCATGGATGAGATGGTGCCAAGGTTTGAACTAAAGCCTCAGATTTCTAAGAAAATGTGAAACATTTGATGCCTAAAAGCTAGTGAAGCCAAAAGGTGATGCATTTTGTACATGTCAGCTGTGTGGTTACAAAGAAGTTGGAATAAACGTACCATGTGTTAGGGCAGTACTTAGCACGTAATATAGTTCAATAAATATTCATTTTCATTTTGATTAAAACAGTCTTTTCAGACACCAGGGCACACATTCGCTTCACAGAATAAAGTGTAATCAACATCAGAAAGATGAGCTGGAATAATTGATTTAAACCATTTACCATTTTAAGCAGCGGAAAATGCAATGTGAGCAATACATCATGACTGACTTAATGAAGAAATGTCAAATGTAATCATTCTGAAGAAATCCCAAAGCTCCAGTTATTCTTTAAAGCAGCGGGTATAGTGATGGGTTATCATTTGCGAAGCTTGATGTTACACAGAATGGCCAAATTAAAATGACCATCTGCTGAATCATTTTGCATCAACTCTTTGTAGTGTTAACCAAGCAGTAGTGAAACGCACCTTCAATTAAATATGACATGAGTTACAACAAAACAAATTAAAAATGAAATGAACGCATCGCATATTTCAAATTTCTCCTATAAAAACAAGCCATGTCGCTGCCAAACAACACACACGTAAAACGCACGCGAGTACGTCGCATCATTTTCTGATGCTTTGATAAACACTTGCGTGGCGCACGCATTAGCCTGGATAAAGCAGCAGCATGAAATACATGGCTTGAAGTGCACGGAAAAGTACCTGTAGTTATTAACACCCTTCCTGCTGAACAGAGGCATTCTACAGCGTCACAAGGAACAAGGAAGACATAGCATTAGCACATAGGTGACCCGTGTACAAAGTGATGAAATTGAACACTGCCAGGACTCAGGACAAATGGCAGCAACCTGCTTGTTTAGAAATAGGCCCTGCCCTTTACAGAGACTGAAAACGTGGAAATAAAAATGTTAATTGCGTTGCTCAAATCAAGATTATGGCTGTACACGATGAGATGTTTTTTTTGTACTGTCTCGTACCTTGCTGGTTGAGTTGTTTTCATCACGGTGAAAGAAGCATTAGGAACAAAACCGCTCCAGTGTTGGGAAACGTGTGTGCAAGCGCGTATATATGCTTTGTCAACACGGCAATGTCAGCAACATCGTGCTTTGCATTTGAGCATGCATGCGAGTGGAATTCGAGCATGGCTTGTCTCAAAATACACTTTTGACACAAGTGTGCACGATGTGCGCAATTCTGTTTTGCCAAGGACAGGCTAAAGAAGCGACCATAATTTCACCGCACCGCCCTGCTTTGTAATGTCCTACTATTTGAATGAAGGGAGCCAAATTAAGAGTATCCAAGTCTCGGCCCTGGGAGTCACTTTTGACGACTAACCCTAGTTGCACCGTTCACCAAAAAAAAGTGCAAGACCTTGCAGCAGGCAACATGCAAACGCTGCGATGTGCTCGCCACTGGAAGGCCATTTTGACTTTGGTGGTCCGACACACAAAAATTTTTAAAAGAGGATTTACAAATGCACGTGCAAACAAACCGATGCCACTAGAAGTTCCGCCAGTTCTACGGTAGCTTTTTCCACACATTTATGATGCCGAACAGTCATCCTAGGAGGAATGCTTTTGGTTTGGAGGGGAAATCAAAAGCATTTATCCTTTCCGTTTTGCTGCACAACAATGAGAAGATAACTATACCACATGCAACCATTCTTAATACAAATTATGTACGTAATGTAATATTTATCCAGCAGCTGCGGTGATCAAAGATCATACAGAAAGAGTGCTGATGGTCATTTTTATTTACCTAAATAGCAAACCAAAAATAGCCCCCTCATAACTTTTGATTTTAAAGAAATCACAGCTGATACTGTAAACTCGGGAAACACTCTAAGTCAGCATGCCAACAGGCAAGACAGTTCAAGCATTGAAAAATGCTTTGCCATATCTGATGTGTACAAGGACCATTTCTCACTCCACAAAGTCACGAGCAAAAAAAAGTCTTCGGAACCAAATTTTTCAACGATGCTGGCAAGGCAACATGCGCTTCGTGGCAACACACACGGGTTGACTGTTAGCAATGAGTCGTTTGCCCACCTGTTGCCAGTGTAGTAGTGTCTGATGTGATTCTGAGCTGGTATTGGTTTAAACGGCGAAGGCGAGGTGAATCCGTTCAGGAAGCCAGTGCTTGGAAACTGTGCCTTTTAAAAGCGGAACACAAAGAAAATGCATTTGTTATTATATTTGTACGCGTCCATTTGCTTGCTCCGTCAAATGTTGCACTATCTTTAGATCCAAGATGCCTAAGTCAGTTGGTTAATATTGAACTGGCTTTCCTCCCGCACGGACAGTTATGGTATCACGCTCTGGTATCAGTACCCAGGAGTGTTTTGATGGATTACAATACAAATATTCCTCCCAATTTCCTTCTGCGCAATTAAACATCAAGCACACAGGGTGTGACAACTGTTCAAAGTCAATATAGTTAAGGAGTGTGCTTTTTGCATCGAAAACTTACTTTGCCCTTACTCGACCTCTGCTACTTCATAAAATTACTCAATATATAGCACAATGTTAGTATTTTAATACATTAACGTGATTAATCTAGTTGGCTACCCATCTCAATGATATATTAATCCGCACTAATGTTATCAGCAGACTGAAATTCAGAAGTAATAAAAATATATTTTTGTAAATATCCATCTACCCATGGCCATTGGCGATATTTTAGCATTGAACATCGCATTCGATATCATGTTTCCGTAGAGAACACGTGATAATTGCCACTGCATCAGTGATGATACATTGGCTACCGCTATAAGTATGGTAATATTTTAAAATGCAAACGATTAACACAGAATGGTAAAAAGAGATGTAATGACCATTTTAGCTTGCCAAGGCAAACAAATCCAGAGATGATTTATGGCGAAAAGAAACCACGTAGCTTTAAAGAAATATTTCACAAAAATAAATCCATCCTCACTTTACAAACCAGTGCTGAGAAATTAGTTTCATTAGTCTTGTTGTAACTTATTTGGCATATTAACACAGCATAAAGCTAGTGTTGAAGACTGCGGTGGGGGGGGGGGGTGAGAGGTGGATGTGTTTCCAATAGAGGGCAGTGGAACCAACCGTGCTTATTGCACCTCAGGATTAGCATGGTTGGCTACGTACGGTGCGAAAGAAGTTCAACATACATACATAGTGTAACTAAATTTATTTTCGTACTGGAATATACTGTACCCAAACATCTATGCTCTCCACCTTCACCAACGGACAATGATCAGTGTGGCGAAGTATGGTAAAATTAACCACCACGACTCGTGTCCTCACCTTCCAACGGATTGACAAAACGGCTGGACATGTACAACAATTACATCATCATGAGCGGCTCAAGGAAAATGTCAAATAAAATGGTAAGATTTAAATCGCTCACAATTACAGCACAATCATTTGGGGGGGCATTGGGATCAGCCTTGTGGCATCCACTGCCGATTCCCTCGTGTGAATTCTTGACACTGGCAATCACACACTGATGCACGTCACGCTTCACCTCGTGCACAAAACCTTCCGTCCCCATTTGCCCTCGCTGCCTCTTCAACGCAGTGGAGGACTTCTACAGGATCTCACCAGCGGCCCTTCGAAGTAAGCAGATGATGGGGGCCAGACCGGTGGAGGCAGCACCCCATAGAAACCAAACTGCTGTGGCGTGCTGTATATGGGCTGCAGGTAAACTGGTGTAGCAAAGCGCTGCTGCTGTTGCTGCTGCTGCTGCTGCTGTTGCTGCAGGGGGTACATGCTGATCTCTGCTTGCCGGAAGCCATTCTTGGGCAGGAACGTGTTGATGGCAATGGGCTTGGCCTTGATGCGAGCCTGGGATGGGGTTACAGATGGGGGGGGGGGTGGGGGGGAGGGAATTGGCGCCGACCTGACGTTGCATTAAAGATTCAAGTGAATGAAGAGATATCTAGTGCTGTGGGATTAATAATTTCATGTCAGTTCACAGAATGCGACAAGCCCGTTACCATAATGGGCTTTCCCAGGAAGGTTTTCACTTCTTCTCGCAGGTACTTGAATGCCTGTCATAAAAAAAATATATCAACGGCTTTAAAACACAGAATTTTTTTTTTACTTTCTCTAGACCTAGTTAAGTGGTGGGTCAGACCGACACAATTAAGCTATAAAAGAGTACATTTGTACAATAAATATAATACATTTTAAATAATATCTTTTCATCTTGTAACGTGCACAGTATTCGTTCATGCTCCGACAGGAGAGTGACTTGGAGGCACTAGAAACCAATGAGAAGCGGGAAAGTAACAACCCACATCGCAATCAAACAAGTGCCTTGGCTCTGCAGTCCCCTAGATATTATAATACGTTTTCAACCAATTAATGCGGACGTACAGTGAGGGAAAAAAGTATTTGATCCCCTGTTCAATTTGTACGTTTGCCCACTGACAAAGAAATGATCAGTCTATCATTTTAATGGTAGGTTTATATGAACAGTGAGAGACAGAATAACAACAACAAAATCCAGAAAAACGCATGTCAAAAATGTTATAAATTGATTTGCATTTTAATGAGGGAAATAAGTATTTGACCCGCTCTCAATCAGAAAGATTGCTGGCTCCCAGGTGTCTTTTATACAGGTAACGAGCTGACATTAGGAGCACACTCTTAAAGGGAGTGCTCCTAATCTCAGCTTGTTACCTCTATTAAAGACACCTGTCCACAGAAGCAATCAATCAGATTCCAAACTCTCCACCATGGTCAAGACCAAAGAGCTCTCCAAGGATGTCAGGGACAAGATTGTAGACCTACACATGGCTGTAATGGGCTACAAGATCATTGCCAAGCAGCTTGGTGAGAAGGTGACAACAGTTGGTGCGATTCTTCACAAGAAACACAAAAGAACTGTCAATCTCCCTCGGCCTGGGGCTCCATGCAAGATCTCACCTCGTTGAGTTGCAATGATCATGAGAACGGTGAGGAATCAGCCCAGAACTACACGGGAGGATCTTGTCAATGATCTCAAGGCAGCTGGGACCATAGTCACCAAGAAAACAATTGGTAACACACTACGCCGTGAAGGACTGAAATCCTGCAGCGCCTGCAAGGTCCCCCTGCTCAAGAAAGCACATATACATGCCTGTCTGAATTTTGCCAATGAACATCTGAATGATTCAGAGGACAACTGGGTGAAAGTGTTGTGGTCAGATGAGATCAAAATGGAGCTATTTAGCATCAACTCAACTCGCCCTGTTTGGAGGAGGAGGAATGCTGCCTATGACCCCAAGAACACCATCCCCACCGTCAAACATGGAGGTGGAAACATTATGCTTTGGGGGTGTTTTTCTGCTAAGGGGACAGGACAACTTCACCGCATCAAAGGGACGATGGACGGGGCTATGTACTGTCAAATCTTGGGTGAGAACCTCCTTCCCTCAGCCAGGGCATTGAAAATGGGTCGTGGATGGGTATGACCCATCCAATGACCCAAAACACATGGCCAAGGCAACAAAAGAGTGGCTCAAGAAGAAGCACATTAAGATCCTGGAGTGGCCTAGCCAGTCTCCAGACCTGAATCCCATAAGAAAATCTGTGGAGGGAGCTGAAGGTTCGAGTTGGCAAACGTCAGCCTCGAAACCTTAATGACTTGGAGAAGATCTGCAAAGAGGAGTGGGACAATATCCCTCCTGAGATGTGTGCAAACCTGGTGGCCAACTACAAGAAACGTCTGACCTCTGTGATTGCCAACAAGGGTTTTGCCACCAAGTACTAAGTCATGTTTTACAGAGGGGTCAAATACTTATTTCCCTCATTAAAATGCAAATCAATTTATAACAATTTTGACATGCATTTTTCTGGATTTTTTGTTGTTATTCTGTCTCTCACTGTTCAAATAAACCTACCATTAAAATTATAGACTGATCATTTATTTGTCAGTGGGCAAACGTACAAAATCAGCGGGGGATCAAATACTTTTTTCCCTCACTGTATACATGCGGGAAGAAATCAGAGCACCGCAAGAAAATGCATGTGTGTGGGAAAACAAAACTATCACACACAAATGGAAAATATGGTGTCTAGTCCACATTTTTCTGTGCCGACTTTCTCTTGGCAAAGCCAGGGTAAGGCATGTAGCTAGTGATTGGAAGGAAATTTCATAACCTTCGAGTGAGTTACAAGCCCTCGTGTCTCCACCGGTGCTGAATTACAGGCGTTATGCCACCACAGTCTGGCTAAAGAGAGAAGGCTATAAATTATTGAAGATTTTATGAAATAATCTCGCCAGACTTGTTGAATATGGCACAACACCACACGCATTGTAAAACAGGGAAACGTGGCCTCTTCACGACACTACATGGTGGCGTGGTAAGAGTGGCATCTCCCAAGGCATGCGTTCACCTGTTGGGCGTCCGTGTCTGACTCAAAGGTGATGTACCAGCTGTTGTTGTGAGCAAACTCACAGCTGATGAACCTTGGGCACTGTTCACCCCCAAACAAGGCCTCAACCTCCTGAAATAAACAAACAAACGCAAACCCATTCCTCTGCTTAGACTGTCATACGAACAACTGTCATTGAGCAGATAATTGTGGGAAAGATAATGACAAGATAAACCTGGCACCTTTCCTAATTGCAGTCAGGTTCGCACGAATATTGCTGACCACTTGATTTAATGGATTGATTTTAAGGTGAACTTAAGTCAAAGTAGGAGAGCGCTCGATGACATATACAGGTGCAGATTGCCACTGGTGTTTTTCAAAATATATGTACCCTGGAATCGAAACCGGGGTTGCTGGAATTATTGAACAGATTATACCTCGATTGGCGTGGTCTCTGGAATCTCACGCAGAATGACGACACATCGCTTGTAGTTAGGTCGAACTCGTTCGCCGTTCTCATCCACCTGCACTACTGCTGATGCTGTAAGAGACAAAAAGATTACAGGAGGATGAAACAAAACTGAAAAATCTTGCGACCGTTCTTAGGATCGCATGAAAAGGGCTACAAGGTATGTAACGAGTGCTTACAGATTACTAATGATCATCACATTTGCTTTGATCAAGATGCTAGACTGCAGCACATGGATCACACTGGAAACATTGCATGTCCAATTACTAATGTAGACAAAAAATGAATGTCATAAAAGAGAATGAAAATGCTACGATTTACCGACACAAAAGCAGGCCAGGAATTAAAATGCACAGGTGCACCTCAAACATCTCTCCACAAAGAAAGAAACTTAAAGAGACCGAATATAATTTAATATAAGCATAAAAGATTAAACACAATGCAGAAAAGATTTTGCACTCTAAGTAACAGTAATATGCAACTTAAACACCGGAGCAAATGTTGTTCTTCAATATAGCTTTCACATGCAAATTGCATGCATCTTAAATGCAAAAAAACATTTGCATGACCAAGGTTCTGGCATTGCTCAAGCACTCAGGATGTAAAAAAAAAGCTTCGATTTAAAATGCCTACGGACAAATATGTACGGCTTTAACTTTGTGGACATGCGTCTAAATTCACAATGGGCGACATGACACGTCAACGAAAGGATAAGAGATATAAGAGAGGTGTCCGTATGTGCTATCAAAACAAATCCAGGCCTCGCTAATGGAGAACTTATTTGTGTGTTCAGTTTGTCGTTGTCCCCCAGCAACTCCGAATAACACGGTTGGCTATGTACGGTGCGAAAGAAGTTCAACATACATACATGAAGGCATGGTTGAATGGCACTAAAGGCTGTTTTACCTAACACCCATTTCTTTTGTAACAGAATTTAAAGTTCATTTGCCTGCCTGGCCTGTGACCAAATCACCCAAACCGCACCCAATCGATCTCATCAGATTTCAGAGGCTAAACAGTGCTTGGATGAGTGATAACCATGACCAAAAGGTTGTTATATGCTGCTGTGGGGCTATGTAATGGGCAGCAGAGGCCAGTGCAGCAAATTCATCGTGGTACTGTATTTCTGTCCACGTGCACACTCCCTGCTTTCACCAACCATAAATGCGACCAGCGTGGTTGCAGTTTGATGAAATAATCCCCGCGACTCACGCTGCATGAACAGGCCCTAATCCAGCAGTATATTACCAAAGGGCTGTACATGAACACGATTCCAACCACGCTTGCTACTCGATGTGGACTGAGACGACGCAAAGAGGGACAGTACACAATTCAAATTAAGACAACCCAATAAACAAAGTGCTCAGCGAGGAGATACACCTGAATTTTCGATTTAAAGCTTTCGTGACTGCAATGATTCATCTTCTTTGGTTCTTTCGGAAAAGTCACGTAGAATGAGAATAAAATAATAAATTGATAAAATAAAATAACACAATAATATTCTCACGACGTTTCGGCCACAACACAAGCGGCCTTCATCAGGTGAAGGGAGCGAGACTGTCTGGTAGGACAGCGCTGGAGTGAGAGAGCCACGTTCAGATCACGGCTTTTTAAGCCGCGACTCTAAGCTTAAAAAGCCGTGATCTGAACGTGGCTCTCTCACTCCAGCGCTGTCCTACCAGACAGTCTCGCTCCCTTCACCTGATGAAGGCCGCTTGTGTTGTGGCCGAAACGTCGTGAGAATATTATTGTGTTATTTTATTTTATCAATTTATTATTTTATTCTCATTCTACGTGACTTTACCGAAAGAACCAAAGAAGAGAGATACACCTGGTTGTTCTTGGCTGTCCAACATGCACTTTAAGCTTTCGTTATTTTGTCAAGGCTTTAAAAGTCACACTAAAAAAGCACTTTGGTGACAAAGCTGTCCTGTGACTCTCATACTATCTTTAATTTTGTTAATGCAGTCACACTGATGCTTTTATGTCAATGAGCAATAATTCAAGTGTTAGACAATGCAGGCAAATCAGCCTAGGTATGCATCTTGAATGTCCATAGTGACCAAAATCTCACTGGGACAAGGTACTAGGCACAACATCAAACACTGCTGTTGTCAGCTGATTTACAGAGAAGCACAAGCTTATCCCAGATGCTGTTCTACACGTTACCATGAATAAAGTACTTACATCTCAGGACCTCCACAATAAGATCCTTATCAGTCGTAAGTTTTTTGACTTGGTTAAAGTTGGCAATGGTCCAGATGGGCACATACTGATCGCTGTCCATCTGGGACACCAGATATAGGTCATTGGCCAGGTTCTCTCTGTAGACGACACGTTCAATCAACGCAGAACACACACACGTGCAAAAAGAGCACATTAAAAGTAATTCCTAGTTTTATGAATTATAGTATAACACAAGAGGCAGGCTGGTGCAGTGTTTAGAATCTTCCTATCAGGTTCTAAGTTGACATCCTGATTTAGGTGAGTCAACCCTTTATCCCCTCCAGGAATACCACTTTAAGGGAAGTTTAAAAAAGTGTTTATGGATAGACTCACATTTTTGTAAAATGACTCGGAGCTCTAACAGATTGAGCACTTCCCATGCTTGAGTGGAAACCCACAAAACTGCTCTCTTTTTCATAGTATCACCTTCTTATATACCTCAAATGTATGTTACCATATGTACTCGAAGAATAAAAACCATCCCAAATTATGATCTCTGTAGACAAGGTTGAATCACTTTATTAAGATCATCTTTTTACTAAAACACAGAGAATGCAATCCCACCATGGCAAGAGAATCAAAAAGTGGCTTCAAGTTGAAGTGCTCCCCTCTGTACTGCATGACTGTGTTTGGGCACCCATGTTGAAGGCTTACCTGGAAAAGTAATACTCCAGTTGTTTTCTGAGCACCTCTTTCAGGTCCTCCTTGCTCATGTTTTGGAAGTCTCCCACCAACTCTCCATCCACTACACAGATAGGCACCACACTTATTTCGGTTGTTGCACAACAATACACGGATTTACGCTGATAAATATGGCAAATGTGGTACCTGTAAAAAAAATCTCTGCATAACACTGAGCCTTATGAGACCTCCTTTGCCAGTAACAAGATATAGTAATAGGTTTTACCCTTTGAACTGGCACAAAAACTGACACCTTTATTCAAGGCATCATGTTTGCAATAACCACAACACAAGCAGTCAAAATGCAAACAAAAGAGACAACTCTGATAATAATATGCACTGCCCTTGAATTTGATTGGTCCACACCCGAGACGGCTTTTCTTAGAGCCTAGTCTCATCTGGTGTTGGACCAGAAGACGCCAACACCAGTGTTGACTTAAAGCTTTTGTGACTGCAGGAATTCGGTAAAGTCACGTAGACATCTACGTGACTTTACCGAAAGACCCAATAATATGAATACATTGGTGCTCATACATCTGTATGAGTTACAATGAACTTAAAACGAATGCAGCATCATGTCTGTATTTGGCCAAAAGCAGCAACGAAGATGGAGATAATACGTATGGTTTTTCATTCACACAAAACGGCACCAGTAGAATAATTACCCGATGCTGTCATCACAACACTGCAGTGCTTTGCATCAAAATTCACATGAATATGTATTAATAAATCCCTATGCAAAATTATTTGGGTGTCTCCATGGAAAACAACTTCATTATTAACTTATTGGTGTTTATATTCATAGATTAATGCAAGGACAAAAAATAACTTAACGAGAAGGCATTTTTGTTCTTTAATAAAAGCAAGCACACACTACAACATCCTGCCACTACCCTCAACAATCTTCTATTGCTAAGATCACACGTCACTACAAAATAAAGACATGGGCTTAGAAGAAGTTGCACATTCAACTACATATGAACACCCTTGCCTGCATTTTACAAACAACCATGTAGCACAATTTGTATTCAGCATGAAGCAACCATGAACTTAAATAAAAACTCATCAACAGCATTGAGATGTACACAAATGTACACTCAACATGGCATTTACGAATATAGCAAACATGCATAAGGGAGAACAGTCTAAACTAAAATAAAGGATATGTACAAGTCGATACAAACCAACTGCTACCACTGCCAAAAGCTTGCAGCATCAGATTCCATCATCATCATTATAATCATTATCAATCATGATTAATCCACTGCTGGATGAAGGCATCCCCATGCTGCTGCTGTCTCTCAGTTCCACAAGGCACGTCAACGCTCCTACATCGGCTTTGGCGAGCCAAAATCCTCGGGGAGGTTACTGAACAGAGCCACCGATCCCCCATGACTAGCAACAGGGCCACAGACCTGGCTGGCCCGTGATGAGCGCTGGCTCGTAGAGAGAGTACGGAGTCTCGGGCGCATGGAGGACCAGGTCGCCGATGGAGGCGAGCTCTTGGACGTTCACGGAGCCTGGCGATTCTCCCATGCTTGGGAAGGGCTTCCCCACCTCGCCATTCACCTGCTCATACACTGCTGCAACCAAGACAAAACAACTTGATATGAACAATGCGGCCATTCAATAACAAAGTGTCTCAAGGATGTCCAACCAATACGCTTAAATGTTTCATATACGTGTGAAGCTCATTCATCAGACCACTGCTGAATGATGGCCTCCCTACGCCGTATAGGCCGTGACCCTTTTGAGCATATTTCACTACAGTGATCAGTGAGGGATGAAGGTGGGGGAGTGGAAACTAAAGAATATATTTTATACATTCATAATAAAGGTTTTTGGGTTAGATCGCGTTTATTTATAAATGTGTCGTAACCCTCCACCACCGGACACGGCCAATCATTCTGGCGAATTGCCCGATGATGCTGGATGTATTTACCAGCGAAACGTCGTACTCAAACTGTAAATGTGGATTCACTCTTCAACACACCGGTGGGCTAAAGTAGTGAATTATGTCTTTTGTCAACGTGACACTTTTTTTGCTGATTGGCCGTGTCGGGTGGTGGAGGGTTACGACACATTTATAAATAAACGCGATCTAACCCAAAAACATTTATTATGAATAATATTGGTCGCGAAAGCCTACGTGTTATATTTTATACATCTTTGTAATGAACATAAGCATACATTTGATTTTGATATTTCAAGCGTTAATACAACTTACGTAAATTTTAAGGGTATTATATTACATTATCACAAGTGCATCCACAGCTTTGGTTGGTTTGCTCACACATGCATTCCAATGACTAAATGATTTCTCCGACACATTATTTATGTAATGTATCACCCACTGTACCTGTTTGTTTTCTCATTCATTGGTACCTGATGATGGCTGCTTGTGTTGCAACGGAAACGCCGTTTTCTATTATTGAATTTAATTTCTTTCTACGTGACTTACCGAAAGAACCGCAGAGTAAATTCCTGCAGTCACGAAAGCTTCGAATCTAGTATGTACCTTACTTGCTGTGGTCCAATTTGCAAACTGATGAATCCCGGAGGAACCTTCGAGCTGATGTTTGGAATCGCACCAAACTATCAAGGTCATCCCTCCAAGAAATGTCATCCTTCAAGAAAAGTGGTGTCAGCTGTGACTTACAATAGATTGCACTGCCAAAATGCGCTGTCCCCTTGACTTAAGAGAATCCTAGAGCACAATCTAATACAGCAATTATTGACTTACCATTCAGTAGAAGAGCTGAATAAGCATTTTTAAAAAAACAACAACAGATTTTCAAACAATTTAAAAGCCTCTCTTTAAAAAGGCACCAGTGCCAAATGTGGACAGATAACGTATACTTTCCACCTCAAGCGTTTGTTTTAGTTCCGTGAGAATGTGCTCGTGTGTGTGCGTGAGCATCCCACGCGGCCATCCCAGCCGCGTCTCGGCGTTCTTTCACATGTAGGTTCTCTACAAAGATTCTTGCTCCTTTTTGAAAATAAATAAAATAAATATACCTAAAGGTTTAATATCCCAAGGAAGACGTTGCTGAATAATAATTAAAATTTCAAACTCATTACATTAATACAGATTTCAAAACTGTACGCGTTTACGTGTAGGCAAAACGAAACGCTGCGATGCAAGGCACTGTTTTTGACTGCTATCATTTCGCCCCTATTAGTTGCTTATTCCTAGAAATTAGCTCGGCGGAAATTAACGGATGTTCCATGCTCATTTTTTTGTTTTCCTTCATCCCATTATTCTTGCAAGCATGCAACGCGCCTCAACAGCCAAGTATGTATATTTACCTTACAATTAAAGACGATGTAGTACACTTAATGTAATAAACAGTATATAAACACCGGACATATCGTGTTAGTGTTGCCTGGAGGGGAGAAACTAAAGATCAAGTGTGTCATTTGCCCGTGTAAGAACAAGCACCCCTTTGTTCGGCTGTTGTATGTGGTTGCGACATTAGGCGCACCGAAAAACAGTGTCCTTCCAACCTTAAAGTGCTCGCGTGAAAACGGCACCTTCGCAGGAGACGAATACTTAAGGCAATACCTCGAACGCTCAACATTAAATCGTCACGCCTCAAGAAACCTTACCCTGGTCACCGAACAACCGGATATGCCCTTTACTGATTAATTTTACCTACGCACGATGATGCCAAAAGCTTCCGAGGGCTTTTGTAACGCTTTACAATGGCCGCTCATTTGTCACCATGGAAATATCTGTTAAAATAAACACCACCTGCTCAAATGCAACGCGGATTACTATATTTTAGTTTCAACGCATGTCTTACCGCAGCCTAAAAAAAACATGACTTACTATGTGTATAGTCACAATCGTAAGCAAGTGCTTTTGAATATATATCAACGATGTTATGATTACCTGCACCCAGCGATCAATATAAATTAAGTTGTCTTAAAATGCATTTTTTGTAGGGTTTTGTTTGTAAGTGAATTGCCAATTAATGTACTATCCTTATTGTCTTGGTGCTCTTAATTTTTCATCCATCACTCCAAAACAAGGCCATATAAGTCTGTATAAAGTATTCACCACCGTAGTACATAACTAGGGTTTACATTTAACATTCAGGGTTGCCACACAAGTTAAGACTTGTGACCAGGGTAAACGGGCATGTGCGCACACACGGACTAAAAACCTCTCCAAGCTGGTCGGAGAGCCTTTACGGTTACAGGGGGCAACCGCCAAACTACATTTAAGCAACACATCATTCCTAAATCGATATGCAAAATATGTATGATGTATTAATTACAATTTAATAACACTATTTTTTTTAATCACGAGTGTATAATTGAATCTGTAACGTATATTCACCATGAGGTGTGCTGGATGTGAACGGCTGAAATAATTTTCCGATGTGATGAAATCATTTTTTATTCATAAATTAAACATGAAAACAGAGACAACACTAGCAGAGCATGTGAATGACCAAAGTTTCCAAGGGCACGAGTTCAAATTCCATACAATAGATAAGTATATAGCTTTAGAATAGCTAGTGAAAATGCACGTGCATTTATTACAAAAGTCAGTACTAGTCTTACTTTTCCTAGTGTTGATTTCTCAGGTTTCCGACACGTTTAGCAAAATGCTTCGTCACTTCATAGATGGGTGCAATCAAGTTGGCTGCAGAACGCTGTTCAATAGGAATCCATGCAGCATTAATTAACATACCTACACAATTTATTCATATAACTGGACATTTTTTTAAGCGACTTATTGAGTCCATTACAGAGATCATAATGTGAGATGCCAAGAGTAGCCGCAACACACAGCAGAAACCCGATTCCAAGGAGAAAACTCACGCGTGCAACAGAATACATAGATCGGCAAACCTGCTTGTTTGTACTGCCACCACATACACACCACTTGTCAACAAAGGACACCGAATTGCCCGGTATCTGGACGTACCACCCTCGTAGGCAACGGCGGCCATGTTGGTGCTCCCAGAGGGGTCGTGCCAGGCGCCGTCACCGGCCGTGCCAGAGGGCAGCTCCCCAGGCTCGTCTCCGCTCAGCACCAGCACCTGCCATGCCTTGGCGTTGGGGTTCAGCTCCGAGGAACTCTTCGATGGGACCTGCAGGCACGGTGGCGAGACGTTAAAATACCTTGCCTGGTAATGCAGGAGAGGCATGGGTTCGATCCCGACCCCAACGTCTGCATATGGAGTTTGCATGTTCTCCCTGTGGTAGCGTGGATTTTTCTCCGGGTCTGCCAGTTTTTCCCTCCACATTTAGAAACATGCATTTAGAGTATTTGGCTGCAATATATTTCCACGTGATATGCCACGTTGTTCAGCTACCATTTGTGGCCAAGTCGATTCTGAAAAAGAGCTAAACAGCTCAGTGTGCCTTACCTGGTAAAATAAGTCTAATTTAAAAAAAACAGAGCGTGCAGGACAGCGAGTCTGTTATTTAAGCCTTTGGTGCTGCCACTTAACCGGATAGAAGTGGCCGGGTGGCACGGAGTCAGAGCACTGAGCTTGCGTTGCCGAGATCCTGGATTTGAAATCAAAGCCAGCCACGTGTGATTTAACCGTAGGCTCGAGCCGGTCACCAATGAAAGCGTAAACAAACGAGCACATTATATGCGATTCTGAACCCAACTTGACAATTCCAGCTCTGGGAAGTATCATAATTTAGAATCTCTATCTTTATTTGGACAGGAGGAATCCGATGAGCTAAAAAGCTATTTTTCACAGATTAAGGGGCGGGTCAGCAAGTTACAAACAATACGGAAAACGGTGGGATTGCAAAAATGGAGAAAAGGTGAGCAAGTCACGAAAAAATAAATGAATAGATACAAATAAAGTATACACAAGTACAAATTGAATAAATATATATCTTCTTGACGATTTGTCAACACTAAATGCAAGCTTGGGCAAGGCAGCAACACAAACAGTTCCAGACCACACCAACACACGGTCCCTCAATAAAATTATAAATTAAAATTGAACTATCGATACACCTGTAAGGATCAAAGTTACACATCACATTTGCAAAAGTGGTTGTATCCAGCAGCTCTGTGGTATTCACTTGTGTGTACCTTTCTCTCACATGATGGATTTTTAAGTGTGTTTGTGGAACTTCTTTCGCACCGTACGTAGCCAACCGTGCTAAATCAGAGGCGTGGGGGAAGGACAACTAAACATAAAAAAGGTTCTAAAGAAAAAGTACTTGTATTAGAAAAACTTATAAAGGTACACAGCTGGGGTATGATATACAACAGCATTGCAGTAACAGCGTGGACATTTATTTCTTACCAATACGAGTTTGTTAATGAAGGTAGATGATCATACAGCGAGTGAACCAGGGATGTAACTTAATAAACACTTGGCCAGGTCAATAACACGCCAGTGAATTACTTAAGAAAAACAACTGAAACTAAATTTCCAATGCTATGTGACACTGGACACTGCCAGGCAAAAGTAAGTGCATTTGATGATCATTCTTAATTAGTATGAGTATATATAAAAATAAAACATTTCTGAAGCTTCTGGAATTTATAACTTGTGTGTGGACCACAGCTCTAAAACATTTTACCTAATAATCCTAATATACACAACCAAGTGGAATTCCTACCCTCCCCACCCTCTTTAACACTTGTGTGATGACTGTTACAAACAGCTGCATGTCTTATTGTAACTGTGCAGCAGGAAAACACAACACCATGACAAATTTGCAATTTAAGATTACAGAGACCATTCAATAGCTTCCCTCGCACGGCACATCCTTGGAATTCCCTTCCATTGCCTGGAAATATCTCATTCTCTCGTATGGCACAATGCAGAGATTTGCAACTCATTTTAAGTACAGCAGTACAGCGGTGGCGAGATGTTAACTACCTCGCCTGGTATGTAGATCATGGGTCCGATCCCAACCCTGACGCCTATGTATCTGGAGTTGGCATGTTCTCACCGTGAGCGTGTGGATTTTTCTACAGGTCCTCCGGTTTTTCCCCTCGACATTTAGAAAGATGCATTTAGAGTATTTGGCTGCTATAAATTTCCACACGATAAGCCACTTCGTTGAGCTTTCATTTGTGGACAGGTCACTTCTGAAAAAAAGCTATATAGCTCAGTGGGCCTTACCTGTTAAAATTAAATAGTTGATATATTTTAAAGTTTTATAAATCAATGTCTATGTTATTTTACCATCCAATATTGTTGGTTGTAAGATGGTGCATTACTTTGATGCCACCACTTAAATGGTTCTAGATTTAAAGCTTTCGTGACTGCAAGGATCCATACTCTTTGGTTCTACTCGGTAAAGTCACGTAGGTAAAAAATAAAACAAAAATCACGACGTTTCGGCCACAACACAAGCAGCCTTCATCAGGCGAAGAGATCAGGCTGTCTCGAGGACAGCGCTGTCCTCGAGACAGCGCTGTCCTCGAGACAGCGCTGTCCTCGAGACAGCTGTCCTCGAGACAGCCTGATCCCTTCGCCTGATGAAGGCTGCTTGTGTTGTGGCCGAAACGTCATGATTTTTGTTGTTTTATTTTTTACCTACGTGACTTTACCGAATAGAACCAAAGAGCACTTAAATGGTCTTCATTGGCAGCAGTTGACAACGTGGTCCATTGTTTGTTCCACTCCGTAGTCAAAGGGTGGACCCTATCTCCTTGATCCTCCAACTTGCGTAGAAGATGAGCGCATTCGGGCGTGCTACGCCCGAATGCGCCGATTTATCACGGTCCAGCGTTTACAAGGAAAGCGAGATGCCAGGCAGGGGTTCAGTTGGATCCCTGATGAGGTGTTTTGTTGGTCGCCTGTGCGCATTGCTCCATTTCTGTTTTACAGCTGTCCGCACATGGTGCACTGTGGTCAGCATCTCGCTTCACCGACCAGACCAGAATGGGCGATGGCATCTGAGGCAGGTCTGAGAGGGGCCGGTCGACATTGTCGCGTACGAGGAGTTTGCGGTTTAACGTAGCCCCGTTATGTTCCCCTTGTTGACGTTGCTGCTCGCCGCATGGGAGGTGGGGCATGATGTTCGACAAGCACTCATAACCTTGCTCAATTCAAGAAACGTGTTAACTCTTTCAAATTACAATTCTGATTAGGCGGTTTTGTTGTCGGCGGTTTTGATGTTTGAGCATTTTGGCCTGTGATCAGCAAATGTGTTTAAAACAAATACAATTAAACCCTTCACAGGTTTCTTGACATGTCTACCCAAACACTGCACAGCAGCATTACTTCAAGATAACAACCAAGAAACGCTATTTAATGAAAAAAAAATATTGCCTTACAATTAGGCATCAAGCCATACTTTTAAATCTTGTGTAGCACTTAAGACAATTTCAAAAAAAATGTTGACAGCCAGATATAACGGAACGGATATCCAAAGGCTCTGAAACACTAAGCACACGTGTCACCACATGAAAAATGTACAATTCAGTCACATGCCATGGACACCACGTGTTTTAGGTTAAAACCAACGTGATGCGCTTGGTTAGTGGTGTACGTTACGTAACATCAACAACGCAAGTCATGGTCGTTCAATGACTGCACTGTTAGCCAGACTGAGGAGTCAGCCTTTGTGTCTAGGACACGGCTCCTATGGCATATGGGCAGCTAAGTTGTTGGTCTCAGCCTGGTCAACTGTGACTGCATTAAAACACATCATTTGGATGTTTTTTATTCTCATTCCTTCATTTAGCTAAATCCCAGCTAGATGAGAATTAAAACGTCAGTTTAACCGTGATGCCAAAAGCACAAATACCATAGCAGAGTTGTGGCAAAGTGGACCCCTAATGTGTAAATATAGGAAGGCCACCTTAAGAGTTTTAAGAAGTAGCTCTGTGGAAGCCTCTTGTTAAGCTATTCTGAGATATTCAAATAAAGTATTTGTCATGGCATGATGTGGATAGCACACAAGGAATAACATTGGGAAAGGGGGGGGGGGAGACAAAAATATTGAAATGTTAAAAAATCTTAGGCCCACATTACTGCATATGTAAATGCAGCCTTCCTGTTGACCTTTTAGGACAACATGAACAACCTGACGTGATTTAAAAACTGTTTTTAACAGTAAAGTGGAACATATGAAAACAAATGCCTCATCGAGTTAATTTGCTGTGAAAACACAAATTATACGGTCGCAACCACGGCTTCTCACACAACTTCGCAGGGCGACACCGACACGGCGAGTCACCTGTAGTTTATTGCTCACTAAAACTCCGAAGCAGTTGTACCGTTCTGGGCTCGCGCTTTCAAGGTAAGAGGCAGTGGTAGGAACGGTCTGCCAACTCCTCAACATTGAACGCATGGCAACTGTTTGGCAGGGATGTTCACAGACCAAGCGCCAGCGTCATTACGGGAAGCATTATGCCAATTATGGGTTCTGCAAAGCTATTTGTAAAATCGTAGAAATGACCCTGCGTTGACGATATACTCTTTAGCCATAAAAAAGTACGAAAAGCAACAATGAATGCCAAGCACACAATGCTACATTTTATTCACTTAAATATAAAATATGAATCACATTCCTACGGTAATGGACAGAAGCTGAACATGCCTCAAGGTCGTATGTGATCTGTCATGAACACAAACAACTTCACTAAAGATTCATGGTTCTGAATTCAATTGTGATTTTTAAAAAAATGATCTGCCATGTCTGTTTTTTTCCCTCACAGAGTGATGCACTCTTCCATTAACATTTTATTTAATCTTCAAGTGAAAACATGTTCTCCGAGCATCTCGAATATTTGAAAGTTAATTCAAGAGAACACAAAAACATTTTAAAATGTCCACATTTGCCTGACACACTCTGGTTACCAGGCAAACCGACAGAGATGATGCCACCTGTGCCAGTTAAGAGTCAGAAAGGCGAACGATAAAATGGTTTATAAAACCGCAGGGAATATGAACATTTCAGCTAATTTTGAACCGAAACCACGATACATTACTTAAATTGCATTCGGCTATTGTGTACCATGTGATATCAATCAGCAAAGTTTCAGGCTGTTTATAGAGCACAGGTGAGGCGGCGTTGTCTCCCTTGTAGAGGACTGCCACACCATTTGCGTTTCCATGACGATATTTAGCGAATATTTCCTCCCCAAAACAAACGAATT